CAAACAATAAAGGTATAAGCATTGAACAACGATGCTATCTTATGTCTAGGTGTTTGCTTTAGTAAGGAAAATTATTACAATATACACTGGCTGATGTTATTTATGCAGCTACCCACTAAAAGATTCAGTAAGATTTTCCTGTACTCTACATATCACCAACAGAATTGTTAGCAACAAAATTCTTACTAATGCATGAGCCAGAAAGGGCATAGCCTATTGTTCAGCTTCTAGGAACTGTGGGACCTGGCAATAAGGAATACAGGAAAAAATACCCCATAACTTTGCTCAGATTTGAAAATGATGTCTAACATTGGTTCCCGCACCACCAATTTTTTGGTATTCAGTTTCCTGAAAAGAGCACTTTAGCTCCAAGGAAACACAAATCCAGCTATCTCAAGAATTTATATATTGTAGAAGCAATAGTTTCTTTTGCTTTGAGATATAGCATCTTTAAGAATGTTCTGCTCTCTGAAAAAAATTATTCATTTGTTCTTATTCCCTTTGTGTTTTCTTGTTGTATTCAATTTATATATTTTTTTAAGTTATGTAAGAAGAAAAAAATTAAATAGATCAACACAAAAGAAGCAAAAAAGAAAACCCCACACATGTGCTTAGAGTGTGTTCAAAGAACAGTTTTTGCTGGTTTAAAAAAAATGTTTAAGTGAGTGTTTGAGCTTTCCTATATAGCTTAACAGAAGTTCTGAGTAAACTTCTCAGAAATGTCAGTAAGCTAGACCTGCAGGGCAGCTTTTTAAAGCACCCAGTTCCTACATGTCTGTTACCCTAGCAAAATCTCCCATGCTGCACTAAGCATTTAAGCTGCAATGGGACATCTGGGAGCATGTTGCTCAAAATGGGATTATCAATTGCTGGAAAGCTGATCCTGAGCTACAAAAATATTAGATAATTGGAAATGTTGAGAATTGGCTGTGATTTAACCCTCTTTCCTCCTAGGATTAGATGATTGTTTATGGATGTCAAAGAAATGCCCACTTCCATTTCCAATACACAGCTCAGGTGTCCTTGAATTACTATGCAGAAACATCTGAACAACTTTATGGAGAAATAAAAGTCAGTGAAATTGCATAGTGGAATCTCGTTCTAAGTGAATTTTGTAGACTACATGTTAGACTATCCCTAAAATGTACATGTGTGTATGTTTCCATTGTCTCTCGTCCCTCTGTGTATTCCCTCCCATGAACTCTCTTTCATTCTGGTGTTCATCAGGTTCTACTCTGAGCTGCTTCATCTTTCCCATTCCACAATGAAAGACCTCTCTCTGGCAGGACACCATGACTCAAGTATTGTATAGACCTATGTTCTTACAGTCTTTCTATGCACTTGTGGTAGGAAAAAATATAAAATCCTTCAGAGACAGCACAGTTGGAGCCAGTCCAGCTTCTCCAGTGAAGTGGCTTAAGGGGTAAACACTTATCAGTAGTGTGAAATCTGAATTCAGTACTCTTTCTTAGCCTGAAAACATTAAAATCCACCTTTCTTAATCACTGGAATGGTGGAACTTCCCCATTGACTCAAAATTGCACCAACATAACAGAAAATACAAAGGACTACTCTAACTAGATTACATGATCCCACAGGCTCCTAAGTGGGACAGTGCCCCGCGTGAGGGGGTCCCGAGGGGCCCCGCCCCCCCCCCCCCCCCCCCCCCAAAAAAAAAAAAAGAAACAAACAAACAAAACCCAAAAAACAACAAAATCAATTTGTCAATCTGGGTTTAACTTAAGCAACTTAGACACTTCTGAAAATTCTATCTTCATTACCAATGCAAAGACATGACAAAAATTGTGGTGAATCGTTTACACACAAACATATGCATGTGACTAGATGACAGATTCTACTTTGATGTTTATATTAAAAAAATAGCACTATTATTTTAACATCTATGAACTTCATATTCATTTGGTGCTCTTTCTTCCCTTTAGAGGAACAAAAGCTTTTGAAGTGCCAAATGAGTTTAAAGAAATTAATACAGATGAAAATTCTGTCTCAAGGACCAGCAGCTTGTGGGTTGATGTGAACTATCTTTGCTTGGAACTATAATCAAAAAGAGGTACTCTAACACACTGACAAATGCATTGTGTGGAATAATATCATGATTTTATGCGCAATTGATTTATAAAAGGTTATGTCTAGTGCACATCTACAAAATATACATATTAGAGCTTGCAAAGGATTTTGTTCAGTTGAATTGTTGTTACCACAAATCTCTTCATCAGTTATTGTTTGCACTGACATCCAATATGTCATTTGTAAGGACTCCCTGCTTCAATCTGGCACTACTGTTTGCCAGAGTGGCATTCAGACATCTCTAAATACTGAGGGCCACCCAGCAAACAAAGACTGTCCCAAAAAGGGGCTAATCAAAGGAATCTTTTAGGATTGTAATGAAATTGATAAAAAAAAAAAATTAATAACCTACACCATAGTTACTGCTGTACCTCTTTTTTGCAGTGTGCTTTTCCCAGTGCCTTTTCTGTTACTGCTGGCCTGGGTTGTTTAGTTTCTTCATTCAATATGCGATTATTTCCACCTACTAGTTTACACAGGGCTATAAGAACTTACAGAACTTTTAAGCTCTACAAGTTTTAAATGTTGTAGGTAACAGCGTAGAGAGACACACCAAGATTTAACCAAATGTACCTTTTCATTAAAAATTACATCTGCTGGTAAAATAAGCTTTACTGTTTGACAAATCAAAGTTCATAAACTATAAGTGAAACCTGAAACAAAAAATTCAGAGTACTATTGTATGATGTGTCCTTAAGTTTTCAGACCCAAGGCTTAAAGTAGATCTGATTGGGGAAAAAAGGAGTTATTTCTTAATGACAACCAAGAAACATATGGTACAAATATGATTAAATTCATTCATATGCATAAATAATGTCCAATTCCATAACTGCTGACTCACTGTGCATTCTAGAAGCTAACAAGACAAGGTATTAGACTTTCCTGACACAATGATTTCAAACCTCCTGATTGCCAAGAATGTGGTCTTACTAACAACGACTATGTTGCAACTTACAGCAGATCCATTATATATATGTGTAGACTTTTAAAAAAGTCACATGAATGCATTAGAATACTTGCATGCTTGGTTGCTCTGATATCAACTTTTAAGAAAGGCAAAAAAGTAAAACCAAATGTTCCTAACTACAGCAAATTTGCTAGTGCTGCTAAACAAAGTCAATGATCACTATAAAAGTCAGATGTTCGGAAAAAATTCAATATGAAAACAGGGTCAGCGTAAAAATCAAGTAACCTAGTGCATACTCTTTTTTAAACTTTCCCTTTTTAAAATGGTACACCACTTCACAGTATTTTAATGTAGCAAATATAATTATTTCTTTCAAAATCCTGATGATTCTGCTTTTTGCCTCCCTATGCGTGAAAGGAACATGACCAGCAGCTAAGCTGGTTTGTCATTTTCATACAGATAGATATTCACGACACAGCAATAGACAAAGATATAGATACATATGGATAGAAGACTAATTTTAAATGTCTAGGAGACCAGATTATACTGAAAGGTTAACATTTTCCATTCCAAATGCAAAGTTAATGTATTAAGGCTATTACAATTCTAGGTGCCATAAAATTTTCAGTAGAATGGTCATGTAAATTGAAAAGAAAACCGATGTCTCTTCAGACTGGAAATTGAGAGAAAATTTGCCCCTAGATGAGAAATTCCCTATCCAGTCAAATCATGTGTCAGTCAAACTTGTTTCTTCCTAGTTACACGTCTTTGAAAGAACAGGGATATAGGTCATTGTCAAATGCCAGCAAAAGGACAAAGCAGCTCTTCACAGATGAGTCTTAACCTGTCTGCCAGTTTATGTAATCTGAATTATTTGTTCAAAGATATCCTTCTTCTGTAGTTCATCTGGAGTTCATCTGTACTCTCCATTAGCAACAGAAATTCTAATTAAATTATGGAATATAGGAAATGTATGGCCCTCACTGGTGCAGTAGCTAGGTTTGTCTAGCACACAGTGGTAGAAGTGCATCTGAAAAAACATAGAATAAAATGTACACTTTCTCCCCTCATCTATTTCTCTTGAGCATACCAAGAAAACTTGATTTGAAGATGCATAGCTTTGGTAACTGGCTGCTTAGCGTGGCTCTTCACAGATGTCACACACTGCAATAGTGGAAACAACTCAAAGAGTGTTCAGTATGAGTACATTGAGCCTATAGGCCTGTGTTACATGGGACACTCAGGAAAATTAATTCTGATTAATTTCTACAGTGGATTAGTTAAAAATCAAAATATTCCTTCGTCAATATTCTCACAAGAAATTAAGAGGAGTTTAACTTAGTTTAGGTTAATTCATTTCACTTGCAGCTCTGCAAGTATTTAACATTGTTTAAGTGATCCCCTGTAAAACTCGTGCTTTTGGTAATTTCATTAAATTTACCTGAGTATCTAAATATAGACAAGACGTTAAAAAGGAAATGGTCATCAACTACCACTTCTCTGTAAAATACAAAGGATGCAACTTATCTAGCTTGGTTTAATCATGGACATCTGCAGTTAATGAATAAAGGCTCTGATGTACTTAGTTGAAATGTAGTCTCGCATGAATTCTGTTCAGCCAGGGGAGAAAGGAGAGGGAAGTCACCTCTTCTAGAGAAATGACCAAATGAGTTGTGATCAGGCACATATTACTGTATCTGCCAATGAACATACACATGGGACATCAGAATAAACTTAAAATAAACTGCACAACTTTATGAACTGTTCAAATTTTATATTTACACTATAATTAGTACAAAATTGCCTTTTAAGTTTTCTGTAGCACAAGACAGCATCTACTGGACTTGGTACCCTAGTCTGTCAAAACAACTACTTTGAAGTATGATAAAAGAATCTAGGAAGAGTTAGAAAGAATAAGACACCATTTTCAAACTATACATAGAGTTTTCTTTTGCTTCTAAAAAGGTACTTATATCCCCAAAAAGTTTTTAATCTTAAATAAGCAGGGAGGGGGCAGGGGGGGAAGACTGGTTGTTGGTACTAAAGCCTTTACTGTAATAAACTAAATATATTTACAATTTTTACAAACGTTTGACCTTCAACAAAAATACAAAAACGTATCACAAGATGCAAAACCAGGAAACAAGTTCATCTGAGACACCACTGCTCTACACAGGACAGAATGCAACTTGAACTGCAAGGAACAGAAAGGTTTTTATCCCCCATATTCAGGCAATGAGAACAATTTGTATGAGGTCACAAAGAAAGAAAGAAAATAAAAGGCTCCAACATTCTTCAGTAGACTCGGCTTTTAAAAACTACGTCAAAAACCTAGGCTACAACTGTCCATCTTGCCTCTGTGTTCTGTTTGGTCCACGTAGCCAATATATAGTTGCTGGATGTTGCCTTCTATTTTGAAAAATCGGAGTAGTTTCATGGCAAGGTCTGGAACCTCAATACTTTTGTTCCTTTTTAAAAGGCAAAACCTTTCTACTACTACACTTAAGAACAATTTTGGCCCAGTTCAACTTCTAAAAGTTATATCCCCATCATATTTTTCAGTAGATAACTTCATAGACTGTAGCCTTTTTGTCTCCAGAGCCAGTGACTATGTACTTATCATCCACAGAGATGTCACAGCTAAGCACTGACGAAGATTCTTTGGACTAGAAGAAAAATAGAAATATATTACATCATTTTTTTTAAAAGTCTTTTACTCTCATCTCAGCATCCCATTTTGGGTAGATCACATATATGAAGATATCCGAGTCCACTCTTGGGACTCTGTTCTAGTTTTTTCTTTAAAAGTATCATCATCCTTACCTGGAAGATACTGGCTCCATAAGGAGTTCTCCATGCATTAAGAAGGTTATCTTTCCCAGTACTCACAAACCATTTACCTAGAATGTAAAACAGAATGACTATGAAAACATATGAAACAGACATCTGACAGATTTTGGGTTTTCAGCACACATCTATGAAATCTGTTAACTAGCTACCATTATAAAAGCTCTCACCACTAATCAGCATAGTACTTTTCCTTACAATTAATGTGGATACTCATGCTTTCGCAGTGCATTCCATACTAGGAAATCCCTAGACTCTGTAAGTAGGAATAGCCTTTTACACACAAATCAACCCTCACAGTAGCCTTTAGACAAATGGATGATTGTTTCTAGGTAAGTATGTTTGACTTCATGAAGCAGAGATATTTATTCATTACTTAAGAAACTGAGATACTAAATGAGTTTTGACTATCAAATGAGCTACAACAATGTAATAACTAATCAGCAAAGCATGAATTAGACCCCTGACCTCCAGTTCTGTGTTCAGGGCAACTTACCACAGTAAGCAAACTTGAGTGACAGCACACAACTCTCATGAAGGTGCAGTTGATATTTGTCTGGTTTATTTACATGTAGCACTTCTACATTGCTGCTCTCCATTCCCACAGCTAGCCATTCACCAGTAGGACAATAACCAAGGGAAAATATCTGAAAATTAAACCACATTTACACTTTTTTTTTTCCTACAGTGGTGAAATTCATGGGGGGAGAGAGAGACAAGGGCCAAATAAAATTCACATAGTTCAATAGCAAGACTGCTGTTCAAAATGCTCTAAAGTTCTAAATAACTCCTGTTCTTATCTATTAACTTAGAACAATAGGAAAAGAGAGTAGTGTCAGGCTATCATTTTGCTCTGGAAGCTAAACATACGAAAGCTCCAAAATACTGTGTTGTGAGCAGCCAAAATGAAGAGAGGGAAAAATCTGCCAGCTGCACTGGGCTCAATCTCAGCTTTCATCCTAAATGCCTCCCTCCCACTGCACCCCCTCCCAAGCTGTAGGAAAATCCAGTTACTTGTGATGTGAAGTCGTGCTGTTGTAGCTGTCTCCCCTCTCTCAAGTCCCAGGATCTGACAGTGTTATCCAAACCTCCTGTCCAGAGCTTGGTACCATCATTAGAAATGTCAATACAGCTGGCTCCATCTGTGTGGCCCTGGAATTGCCTGATAAAACAAACCAGATTGAATAATGATTTCCTGCCAGAGCTCAAGGTAAACACTGTTGTGGTGTTAGTTTTGGACTCTGTATGTGTGTGTCATCTCTTCTGTGCCTGCTGATGGGCAAAAATCAGTCCCTCTCTCTTACTGAGCATGAAATACAACAGTACTACAAAAATATTTTCCAGGTGCTAGAGAAATGAATTGCATCATGGCTAGCTGAACAAAGTTAAATATTTCCTATCAGGTTTTGAAAAGCAAAAAAAAAGCTTGTGAGAATATTAAAGCACAATAACTATAGTTAAAAGCACTAGGGACAACTCAGATTAAAACAAGCGCTGAGGGAACAAAACTCCTCCAGTTTCAGAAACAACTTCTATATTTTTCTTTGGTTGCAAGTCAAGCTGATAAATAATAAGCAGAGATATTAATAGGAAGGGATCCAGCTAGAGATCCAGAAAGTTAAACACAAGCATTGCTGAGTCAGCAAAGTTGCATACTCTGTGGCAGGAGATCACAAAAATCTAAATGGTGCAGTTTGTTTTAAAATCTTCTCATTAGTAATTCTCAGCTTTCAGCAACCAGAAGGTCATCTGAAGTTTTCCTTAATCCTTTGGCAAAAGCCTTCTGAGGTTCCTGCATTTTTCATCAGCAATTAGCTTTCAGAAAGTCCTATGCCTCAATGAGAAAGGTGGAGGGCCAGGGGGAAAGACAACTAGCTTGGGAATGAAGGTTATGAATCACTGACAGCTGCCACAGAAAGGTCACACAGCACATTGTTTTGTAGCTCTGGTCTCAAAATTCCACGTGTTATCAATTAGCAAGATCAGCAAGCAAGTGGTGGGAACACCTACAGCAAACATTCAAAAAGCAAGACAGTCATAGATGGAGAGAGTGTACCTTTACAGACAGTAAGCACACAGGGCAAACTGAAGATTTTATACAACTAAAATCTTTTTTGTTGACCTAAAAGTTCAACAGAAAGTGAAATTTGCGTGCACGTTAACATGACTCCTTGCACGTAAGTTTAGGCTAATTATTGATATATAGGAAATTTAATCAAAACACAGCAGACTAAGGAGATTCTTCAGTGTTTGTGTTCTGAACTTTTAAAATATCACGGCCTTTCCCTATTTAAGCTCTCTCGTCTCATAATACTGTAAGCCACTACTACTTTGGTAAGCATAAGTCAAAATTTATCTTCTAGTAAACCAACTACCTGGCTAGTCAGCAAGAGCCGTCTCACACATGGCCCTATCTTTCTTCTCTGTCATAGTAATAAGGCTGAATATTGACCTGACAGACACTTTAATGTTCTACTAATATATTAATTAATCAAAAGTCTAACAAAAGATTTCAAAAGTAATTTACATGGCGATCCGTTTATTATACCCTTTGTAACCCATTCTAAAAGTTTTAGAGATCAAATTCCCTCCAAAAACTCAAATACCTTTCTTTCATGAATGACCAAACATTACTTCTTTATGCTTTCCTGAAGAACTGAAGGGATCCACACCTTCAACTGCTTTTGTAAGATTAATTTTGTTACTTACCATCACTAAATAAGAACTGAAAATTCTCTTTATTACTTAACAAGGCTTAAGAAAAGGAAAAGAACAAACCCCAAAGAATTCCCTAAAAGGCATGCTCGGTCTACATCAATCATAAACGAGCAGAAATGCTGCTTGTAGAAACCTGCAGACAAATCCCAACTAACCAAAACCAACAGGAACTTTTACACTGACTGCAGTAAGTTATGGACCAGCCCTTTACGCCCTGAAAGCGCATCTTCCAAGACTAGGTTGAAGCTACCAAGACTAGTTACTGCCCAACTCGGGTGTAAACTGCATTCTTTGGATAAGAAATACTATTTACTTTGCCGTCATGAACCACTATTCAGGGAGATAAACATTTATGCAGCTGTCCAAAGAGTAACTTCTATTAAAGTTTTCTGCAAACAAGTAATGACTCACCTGACCAACGTCTGATTGTGCAGATCCCACACTGCGATGTTCCCATCACTGCAGCAGGAGAAGCACACCTTGGAATCAGGGCTGATAGCCAGAGCATAGCAGGCAGGGGCTGAGGATGTCAGCTCTGCTTTTATACGAGGAGTTGGTGCTGTCAGGTCCCATATGGATAACGTGCTGGCTTCCCCACCAACTATTAGCGTGCATCCATCAGGCAGCAATTTACAAGAGCGGATGTAGTTATCTCTGTTCTGTACAACATAAATCACCCCAAGTATGTTAATACACGCCTGCCATTAATGACCGCTAATATGAGTCTGACTGCATCCAAGTTTTAAACAGTATATTATTTTTTCCATTACCAAACTACTGAAGAGGAACCAGTAGATCCTAAAAGATTTCAAACACTGACTTCTCATCACTAACCAGAGACTGCAGCTGCAGAAAGTAAACTGGAGAATCCTGTTGCCACAGTCTACTTTGTTTTCAATCTGGCAAATGGCAAGTCTTCCATCTCATTACACAAAAACAGAGCCAAAGTAAGCTTCCACTTCTGTAGCTGATGGAGTGCGTTTAAAGTCACCAACAACAGAAATATTAAAGCAAATGACCTTTCATTTGGCATTTAGGCAACCCTGTATGAAAATGCAGTTCAAGACTCATGCCTTTCTGATTTTGGAGTTTTCTTTCTTGGTCCTTTGTTGTTCAATATATTGTACTTATATTATTAGATTCACATTTGTGATACTATTGCTGATTGAGAGGTACTACAGGGGATTTAGAAGTGGAAAACATTTCAAACTTCACTTATTACAAGCTTGATTCCTCAAGTGTATTGGATGTCCATTTCTCCGTAACAGCTGCCAAATTAACACAGTAACAGTTCTTTAGGAAATGGAGAGTTAAGTTCTGAAACTCAATACATAGAAAAAAACTACTGCAAGTACTGGTCAACAGCATTCCTACGACCACCTTTTTTTTTTTTTTAAAACATAGCAAAGAAGCAGTAAGTAGTGCAATGGAAACGTTGGCTTAGTCAGCCAGCCATTACTGCTCCATAATGAATATGAAGGTAGCTAGGACTGTGCATCCAGACACATATCTGCCACAGAACTGAATACATACTGAACCATACTTTTTACTACTAGACAACTAACATACGGGTAGAGGTAAATTAAGGATAACAGCTAAAAAAACCAAACCAAAACAAAAACCCCATGACATTTAATTGGATCAACGTTGAAGCTTGAATTGTTTTCATTCAGAATATATATTACTGTTTTACAACATTAAGTCTTCTCAGTCAACATTTCGCAAATGTCTATGCTGCTTCTAATATGAGAAGCATCTCTTATTGAGCCGTTAACTTTTCTGAGTTAGCTTTCCAGCTACCTGTACTACTGCACTCAGCCCCTTTTGTATCCGGCAGATGTGAAAACAACCAACCAAAATGTACAACTTGTGTATCACCAACAAAAGCATAGCAAAACTTAAAGTGACCTTGGTACCATATCACTTTATTTTATTAGGTGGTTGCTACACTCTTACGAGAAAAAAAAAAAAGGTTGTCACTCCTGGTGCAAGTGAAACACCCAGGAAATGTCTTTGTGCAGCCCTGTACAAGCCAGGCTACATTCCTTTTAAACTCATGCACAAAAATCATCTGCATGACATGAAGGGGAAAAAAAAAAAAAAAGAGTCAGATACAGATTAGATGATATTTCTGAGTAGAGAGTATTATTTGACCCTTAGTGACGATATTCATCCCTAAACAAACCAGCACTCTTCTGTATAACTCCACCCATTATGTGGTTAAAAAAAAAGACAGCTAAATACATAAAGCAGGAATCAGAACTGCCTGCTATTTCCTTGTATTATGAACAGACATAAAAATCCAGACAAGGACAGCTATTTCCTTATTGAGTCTCCAAGGAGAAGCAGCTCTTGTGCACAAGTTCCTGTTCACCTACCAGGCAGTCCAGCTGAGAGACAGGGCTCTTGTTGCCAGGGTGGCTGATGTCCCAGACTTTGACGCACCCCTTCCCACCTGTGTACACGTGTCTTGTGGGGTTGCTGATGGTAACTGCACACACAACTTCCCCATGGTTCAGAGTGTTGATCTGACGGGCATGGCGAGGGATTCCTGGACCAATGAGGGCATCAGGAGGGAAAGGAACTGGCTGCATCTGACCATCTGCAGTAACGTGAAAGGAGTAGGCTCTTTTGGGGAAGGGAAAGAAGAGAGAAGACAAAAAAAATTCAGCCAGTTACGGTGCTACAACGCAAGAAAAACACAGTATTTTTTTAATTTTATTTCTTTGTCAATCTTTTTCTCATGAAAATCAAAGCTACGGTGTCAAGTAATACAGACACATGAAACCTCGGAGGGAGACAAGGATTCACAATAGATGTTTTCAGCTTGCCTCACCTAAAGTATTCATGCAGCAGAGACGCACGTTAAATTCTACCCTGAACGCTATGGACCAAGGTCACAGCTGCTATTCCTCAGCCATGTAGATAATCAAAAGATCTTTCAGCCCCTGATTTCTAGCCAGCAGTTCCAAGTCTTAGCACCACAAGTCCTGCAGCAGCAATCCCTCATCAGGCACTACTCTTTCAGTTTTCTTCCATCAGGCTTTTACCTGTTGCCTTGCAGTAGCACTAGCCAGAGTTCAATGTTTGCTCTGTTTCTGCACCTCATCTTTAACATCAGCACCAGCTGTGCTCACATGCCTCTCTTTCCAGCTGGTAACTAGTGCTTTAAAAAGAAAATAGAAACATGCAGAGTGGTTGCACGCACCTTTCATCAGAAAGCTGATAGCATCTACTCATAATTATGTTTTCTTTGAATAACTATTTTGGAAAGCTGAAAGATTCAGTTTCCCAGGCAGTTTTGGCACTTCCGTAACATCTTTTATTTGTATTCAGTGCATGATTTCAAGTATATGGAAACTGAGAGTTGAGGAAGCCAATCCCAGCACTGAATAAAAACACTCTTCCTTGTGGAAAGTGTACAAAAATTCTTTCTTCATGTTCACTGTAATGTTTAAAGTCAGTTCTGCTCACAGACCAGGGCACAAAGAGCAGCTAATAAAGGTTTCAGGTGCAGCGGGTTTTCTTTGTGCGTTTTAAATAATGAAAATACTACTGCAAAACGCTGCTTTTTGTTATACTGGTGAGGTCCTTTTTTTGCTGCTTCTGTTTTAAGCACATCCGTAGTTCATATTTTTGATGTTACTGTTACACTAGCAGGATTCTTCAAAGTGGATAAAAAAAAAGGTAAGATAGAGTATCTTTTTTTTTTTTTACTAATGAATTACTGCCTCCCTAGTGATACTTTTATTTTTCTAATATATTCTTGTGTTCCAAATGACTCTTTCTTTTCCAAATGTACCTTCTTCCTCAGAAACCTTCAGTCACTGTAGCTCAAGTATTAGTATTGCAGCCCTCTTCCAAGGACCCAACAATAGATAATTCAATTTAATCTTCTGTTCTGAGCTCTGAGCTAGTATTGTCAAAGTATTTTATTGTACGTTTCCAAGCATTGCACAGTTTGAAAGGAAGTAACAAGTAAGGTGCCTGGATCTGTAACAGACATCACAAAGCAACTGAATTATGCCCAGGAGCAGAGCAGAAGATATTCCTTTAAAAAAAGAATGAGGAGTGGAGAGCTGAAAGAACTCTACAGTTCTTTCATACAAAAAGTAACAGTGGAAACAGTCACCCCATGTTGCATCACAGTTTTCCCAGAAGGGAAGGATAAAAACTGATTAACAGTAACTGCTATTAAACAAAGACAAAATTCACAGTGCACATACATGCAATTCCTGTATCTCATTCATCTTTCATGGCTGGACAAGTGAGTTAAAAGCCTGCTCAGAGAACACGCAGAAATGGAAGATGAGAAAGACGACAAATCTTTTTTGTTATGGAAGGGTCAGGAATGGGAAATGCAGGATAAGAAAAGAAGTACAAAGTTTACTCCCTTATATGTATACAAGATGCACAGTATATCAAATGTACTTCTTCCCATGGAACCCTTTCTCTTTTTCTGTGTGAACAACTACGGCAATGATTAAGGCTTAACTAGAAATCTGTATCACTTCTGTCAAGTGGAGTAGCTACAGGACTGTCCCAAAGTAGTTATTCACTAAACAGATGAGGCACAGGATGGGAGAGGAGGCAGAAGAGGAGTGGCAACAAGACTGCGCGGGGCTGAACAACTGCTCAGGTTCAGGTACAGAATCCAACTAAAGAGTCATAGCACTTAGCAGACTGAAAAGCTGGGCCCCATCCTGAGCTCCATATCAAAGTCAGTTACAGAGTATTTGTTAGCAGAAAGAGTACACACAACTGCACAACTTTGAAGTCTCAGCCTGCCCTTGGTTTTATCATGGACAGAAAAAGAAAAAATAAAACAATTAAGTAACTATTAAGCAATTTTTTTCCAGCATTTTTAAGACAAATAATCCACTTGTACACAATTATTTTTTAACGGAAGGTTACAGCGTAAATGTTCTGTTCAATTCAAAATATCTACATAAATGGTGTTTTTAATTGCTTCTGTGCATACATACAGCTTCTCAGTCCTTGCTGAGATGGGCTGGGAGGAAATACTCAGTGCTCAAGAACATGGCAAATCAACTAAACTATCTAATTGTCAGCTACTCTAAGTATTTAGATGATATAAGGCATGCAACTCCTGCCTACTTAAGGCACCATGCCTTAAAAAAAAAAATATTTCCCACCTCATCCATCCAATTCAAACAGAATTCCTTAACTAGAACAAAAATACCCCAACTACAAAACACAAAAGCAGACAGTCCCTTCTACTGATGAGTGCATTTTACTTTCAGCTCTTCTTTGTAGCCCAGCATATTTTTAGTTGTAGTTATCACAAACAACAATGAATATCTGAGTGTAGGACAAAATATGAAGAAATTGGGATAAAGGTATTTGTGCAGAAATAACAAAAATATTTAACTTCATACATTTCATCAAACAATTCTATCCAGAGATACAAAAAAGCAACCTGTTATTCTGAAGTATAATAAAAACAGCCTTCCTTTAACATATTCCTCACTGTACATTCACTGAACAAGTGTGCAGATCAGGAGAATTGAAATCTTTTTAATTTTTGCCTTGAGCACTTCCAGAACTGTATACTATTCCTTTCCAAAAACACAAAGAAAAGTCGATTTATAACCAGCAGTTGAAAGAGTTAACATTTACTAGATGAAATTTCCCTTTCCTACTAAAATGAGAAACATATACTTTCAGCTCTTTCTGGTGGCTGTGTATAACACCCCATGATTCAATTAAAACCACATTTGAAAAAAATACTGAGAAATACATTTGTCCTCAATGCTACCATTAATTCACAATTTTAGACACCAGGGAAGCAATACTGTGGACATAAATCTTACCACTGAGTTTGAAAATCTGTGTTCGGTGCACAATCCCACTATTAGAAGGTGTGGTTCACATAAAGGAGAAATCTACAAGGACATTAATTTAGCAGCTATAGAAGACTAAGAGCTAAATAAGTACCTTGCTAGAAAGGCTATGCAAAGCAAAAAAACATGATTACAGCAACACACCAAGAACTTACAGTCCAGGGCATAGTTAACGGTATCAAAATAATGAAGTGCAAGACTCTGACACCACATGTCCATGTCAAAAACTAGTACTGATTTCTCACCCCCAACCTGAGACAAAGATAATTATTGATTAGGTGATGGCTCAAAGCAATTTGGAAGGAAAAAACACCACCACCAACACCCTGAAAAAACAAAACAAAACCAAAAAGACCACTGACCCAAAAGCAGAAGAGCTGCTAAGAAGAAAATAATCTACAGATGGGAATCAACTTTGAAACCAAGAATATGAAAGCTTGTTTTATGCATATTCATACACACATATAGATGTCAAGTTCTTGTCCATAAAATTAATAATTGAACTACAGAGCTGAAGAGAGAAAACAATTAATATGAAATCACACGTGTGTATACCAAATTATCAAATAAATATGAAAAATCTGAAAAGTCTCATAGGAAATAATAAAAAAACTCCACACTCTGCTACCAAATGCAAAGACCAAATGCAAATTAAGAAATTGCTGAAGACACTTTGACTTTCTAGATTGCTACCCAATTTCCCAAGTACATCTGTAACACTACTAACAAGTTTAGACTTTGCAAAGAGCAAAACTGAATGATTGGCATTCAGGAACATTAAAAGATGGTAGTGAAGATTTATATTTAAGTTACAAAACAAGGCAAGCAAAAGAAACTTTCCAGATAACAGTCTCTTCATAAAAACAGATAGACAAGTAGAAGTGGGCTCTTAAGAGGCTACTAATTTTTCTAACAAGCTAGTCATTAACAGACTTCAGACTACACAGAGGTTAAAGAAAACTGTGTGCTATTAGAAATGTCACTTCTTTGGAAAAAAAGGAACGCAATTTTCTCCTGGAAGCAGGGCTAGGTGAAAAAACAGTCCCTGCATAACCATTGATAAAAATGCGCAGCCATGAGAATACACATACAGCTGGGGATTCGATAGTTCAGTACGAAAATTCTCTGTACCACTTGCAGCAAGATTCAGAATAAAACTTCATATTTCATAAAACAAATTCAATGTGGCACCCTAATTGCACTCTAGGAAAAGGCAGATTTTGAAATAAACCTGGAGTACTCCACTAGTTTGCATGATTAAACAACTCATGTACTTTGTACAGAAAATACAGAGATTCACCTAATGTAGGTAAGAGACACTCAAAAGATGCTGCAGGTAGCAGGTGGCATCTAGCTAGCTGTAAGCCAATCAAGACTAGAACAATGGATTGTTCTAAAGCTGTCAATGGAAAGATAACAGATCAGTTTATGGAATTTTAGGTTTGCCTCACTTACAATAAAGGTAAGCAAAGAAGTCACTTTAGAGGAAATGACTGACTCACTCCAACTAACACGACCAGAAAAAAAACCCAGAACAGAACACATCAAATCAAGTCTAGAGTAGGGAGTATGTACCAAAGTAGGCAATATACAAAACAATGTGCATAAAATGCTGAAAAAACTAAATAAAAAGATTAAAAAAACCCCACACAGACTGTAATTTAGCTATGAAATACCAGAATACAAAGCATGGCAGCATACATGCACTGCTTTTGTGTCTTGAATAGTGCAACAACTAGAACTCAGCTACAAAAAAATTCTGACTGAACAAAAATAGGTTTTCATAGTTTATAATACAAAATATTGCCAGGCATTACTAATGGAATAAGTCATTGAAAGCTTATGAATATACTTGTTTAAAAGTAAAAACTTACAGCCACTGGATCATGCGATCTCCAAAAATGTTTTATATAAGTATGCCAAATTCTACTAAAGTCAGCAG